AGTAGGGGTGCCATTTGAAAAGTTCGACTTACGGGTGGGGCACCCCCCGCCCCGCGCCCCTCCCGCGGTTTGGGAAAATGTCGAATACGCCAAAAGGTGTCCCCCTCGATATAAACGAACACGTCTTTTACCGTTTTTCGAAATTCCGACGCGTTCGGCAGATATTCAAGGTGGCTCGTTTTTCGTGAGACACCCTGTAGGAGCTACCCGAAAACCGATGCATCACACAAGTAAATAATTACGATGAGAAGACATACTCTCATTTGCAAGCGTGCTACTCACCACGTGCACAGCATTGCAAACGAAAGGATCCGAAACTCGCTGAGATGACCCGGTCGGGACCCCATCAAATCCATTTCATCTAGCTTTCGTATGCGTCGACCAACTTCATTCGACTCCAATAAGTTGAATAGATCGTATTCGATACATCAAACGGGTGAGATTGTATCGATATCGATTGGTTCAAAACATAAACATAGCCTCAAAAGTAAATTCAGAAATCTGAGAGAACGGATCTTTTGAAACAGATTTTTTATTCTTTTGAGTACCAAATGCCAATGCAAAGTGAAATTGTCAGGAAATTTCTCATTTTCAGCTTTTCCAATTAAAATCCTTACAGTTTGGTTTGAGGTTATGTTCTATTGTTTTGAACCAAACGATACATCGAACCGTTATCGAATACGGTCTATATACAATTAAATAATTTTTTTCTTACATCAAACTACTTGCCTAAATTAGCTTTACGATTTTCTTTAATCAATTTGGTGAAAACAATTGATTAATTAAGCTAAAATAATAAATAACCGACTTTGTTCTCAGAAGTCTGAACGACTGAGCCATCGTGCACACGCTAAACAGCTGGGTAGTCGGGTACAAGAGGTTCCAGATCGCTCCGCGAGAGCGCTCGAGTGGCGCGCGGCGGCCGACCGGTGTACTGCGGTACTCCGCTACTTCACCGTCCCCACAGAATGCGCTACTGTCGCAATCACTTGCTACATCTGTAGCCATCGAAATTTTTACATATGATTAAATCTGGGCACGGTTTAAAATTAAACAAAATTTCCTAGGTGATTACTTATTCGAAACTTAAGTGACGGAAAATATTACCGTCACAGGGGGGAGGGGCGACGATAAACTCGAATTTTTGGTCAGATTTTCAAAATACCTAAATCAAAGATGGCGGCTGTGGCCTAAGTGGCAAAGGTGNGGGGGGGGGGGGCAAAATTCGACTTTTTGAGGGTCCGAATCCCACCTTAAATTTTTTTCCAATCACTGTCGCATCCAACCTTTAAAAGTACTCCAAGTCTTGTAACTTTTCCCGTTTCATTTGTTTTTTTTTTCGGTAATTTGAGCGGGAGTTATGATTTTTTGAAAATAGTCAAAATTTGAATTTGACTTGCCACAACACGGTGAAAAATTAAAATATCGACCTGCGGTTTGCGCCAAAATTCTTAGTTTTTTATCCTCTTTCGAATGATGTATCGCAAAGGAGGGGGGGTTGCCGTTGAAAAACAAAAGCCCTGGCTGTTGGGGGGCCCCAGCCCCCCTGACGGGCCCCAAAAATTTTTGCCTCCCCCCCAAAGATGCCTTCCTTAAAGATAGAAACATCCCCGAAGTTTCGTTTTTCTATCTCTAACCGTTTAAAAGTTACAGGGGGGGGGGGGGGGGGGTGCGGACTTTTGGGACACCCTGTGTGAAAAAGTAAAGGGTATGTAAAAAGTAAAGGGCCCTGGGTATGGGCACCGAAATGCCCCTCCTCACGGATTTTGAATTGAATGGTCTAAGCCCTCACAGGAGGTCCTAAAAACGTGGCTTCTGGCAATTTTTACCTCCTAACCCCAACCACCTCCCCCTCCAGCCCTGAAAACCCCATTTTTCGGGGTATTTTGGGGTATTTTCACATTTTATTTCATAACTGTCGCATTTTACGACGAAAATGCATCAAAATTTCACCGAATATACATCAGACCAATCAGATCCTTGGGCATCAAAAATTTATCGAAACATATTTAGTAGATCCCTTAACTAATTCGTAAAAATCGTAAATTTTCTATTTTTTTCAGATTTTAGCGGTATAAAAAAATGAGAACACGTACATTTTTTTGCCTTGAAATTTACGTAATAAGCCCAGTTGTCATCCCCCAAAAAATTCAAGCCTTCACGTATGGTTGGTTCCACCGAAAAAAATTGTTTTTCTGGCGCCAAATTGGTCAAAATGGCTATTTCGGCAATGGTTTTCTCGCCTGCTATTCTTTAACCTTTTCTAATTTTTCTCCACTAATTTTTGGATCCAATTTTTCAAGGAGCATGCCCTAGTATGTCAGAAAAGGCTTAAAGTCGATCGAGTCCTTGCGCCCCACGTAAAGTACCGGTTTTTAGCGCCAAAATGGTGAACATTGCTATTTCAGAGGAAGTTACTCGCGTAGAGTGGCCCTTATTTTTGACCTTACAGAAATTTAAAGTATGGAACCCTGCAAACGGTTCCATTTCTTGAGGGAATAACGGGGGAAAAATAAAAATGGGGGAAAAAATATTTTAAAACGCGCCTCAAAGAGCCTAAAGATGCGAGCGTGGCGCACGAAGACGCGTTTTTCCGTCATTTCGCGAATTTTTCCCCTCCGTTTAAAATGTTGCAACGGCTTTGAAATTGTCTGAAGTAGCGCATTTTTTATAATAATTTACGAAAAAAATAACAACGTTTACCTCGCTACTTTTAAAATGCCGATTTTCCCGTACAATCTCCCTGCACGAGTTTAAATTCTTTGAAGAGTCGAAAGCAAAAATTCTTCAGATTCTAGAAGTAGAGTGTCTACCGAGTCATTTAAGCGAAAAAGAAAACAATTCTGTTCAGCTGCTGGAAGACAAGTCGATTTAAAGGTATTTTGGGGCCCAAAAAATGACCGGTATAAAGGCAAAATCGGCGAAATCGCATGATGTGGCCACTTTGAAGGGGAAAAAGGGGGTATTTTAAAAGGAGCGAGGTAAATTGTGTCATTTTTTCGTAAATTACTATAAAAAATGCGCTACTTCAGAAAATTTCAAAGCCGTAGCAACACTTTAAACGGAGGGGAAAATTCGCGAAATAACGGAAAAACGCGTCTTCGCGCGCCACGCTCGCAACTTCAGGCTCATTGAGGCGCGTTTTAAAATATTTTTTCCCCCATTTTCATTTTCCCCCTGTTTCTCATGAAATGGAACCATTTGCAGGGTTCCGCACTTAAATTTCCGTAAAGTCAAAAATAAGGGCCACTCTACACGAGCAACCTCTTCTGAAATAGTAATGTTGACCATTTTGGCGCCAAAAACCGGTACTTTACGTGGGGCGCAAGGACTCCATCAACTTTAAACCTTTTCTGACGATACTGGGGCATGCTTCTTGAAACATTGGATCCAAAATTAATGATTTTAGTGTTTTTATCTTGATAGCGTGCGAGTAAACTGTTGCCAAAATAGCCATTTTGACCAATTTGGCGCCCAAAAAAACATGTTTTCGGTGGGACCCACCATGTATGAAGGCTTGAATTTTTTTAGGGGGTAACAACTGGGTATATTACCTACATTTTAAGGCGGAAACAAAAAATTATGTGTTCTCGTTTTTTTAAACCGCTAAAATCTGGAAAAATTGGAAATTTAAGATTTTTACGAATTTTTTTAGGGATCTAAGTATGGTGCAATAAAGATTTTTTTTACCCAACAATCTGATTGGTCTGATGTGTATCTTGTGCATGTTCATCAAAAAACGCGGGAGATATGAAATGAAACGTGAAAACACCCCGAAAAATGGGGTTTTCAGGGCTGGGGGGGGGTGGTTGGGGTCAGGAGGTAAAAGTTGCCCAAAACCATGTTTTTAGGACCTCCTGAAAGGGTTTAGACCATTCAATTCAAAATCCGTGAGGAGGGGCATTTTGGTGCCCTCACCCAGAAATATTCTTTGACAGAATTATGATCTTTCCAATTGTGATGGCCAATTTGATTTATTAACGGTACGTTCTTACTGTCTTTTTTTTCGCCAAAAAAATTGGTTACTTTAAGAAATAACTCGTGGTTTTTTGATGATCATGATTTACTTAGCCCAAGAATACCAAAATCCATACAGGCATTGAGCTCTAACAGCATTAATTTTGCAATATTTGTTTTCACCTCCCCCCTGAAAATGTTCTCTCTTTCTTCTTCTTTGCAATACGTGTCAAGATTTGTGTATTTTTTCACCTTAAAATAATAAAAGCTTGTTAGAAGTTGTTGAAACGAACTTCCTCCGTTTATCCTCTCCCTCTGCCCAAAATG